GTTTAGGTGAAACCTAGGTAGGTTTCTCTGGCTCACCTAGCTCACTATATATATATGTGTGTGTATATATATATATATATATATATACTCAGTTCCTGCAGATTGCAAGACCGCATGAAACTCCAAATTGTTCTATTGACATTGGAGATTTTATATATATGTTAATTTGTTTTGCTTAAATGTTAGATTAGATGGATACTAATGTTCGAGTAAATGCTCTGTTTATTTAATTAAACAATATTTTTATTTACTTACATTTACCGACCTGAATATTCGAGAAATCTTGTCACAAAATATGCATCTTTAAGTTAAGGTACAAAACTGAGCAAATATGGATGTTTCGAGAAAAGGCAGAGACTATGAGTTCAAAAGCCCTTTTTTGGATTTTGACACGTCACATCTAATGACGCTTCCCCAGTGGGGATGCAGGTTCAAATCCTGCCAGAGGACCCATATTTTCTAGCAAGATTTCTCGAATATTCGGACCAGTAAATGTAATTAAATATAAATACTGTTTAAATAAATTAACAGAGTATTTTCTCAAATATGAGTGTCCGTTTAAAATAACGTTTTAAAAAAAACGTATATATATATATATATATATATATATATATATATATATATATATATATATATATATATATATATATATATATATATATGTATATATATATGGGTATGTGTATATGTGTATATATGTATATATGGATGTATGTGTGCATACACGCATATACATGCATGTGTATATGTATATATGTGTATATATATGTATATGTATATATATGTGTATGTATGTATATATAGGTATATGCTTGTGTATGCGTGTATATGTATGTGAAAAGTGTGTGTATATGAATATAGATGAATATGTGTATGTGTGAATAAGTGAATATATTTTTGTATATTTTTATATATGTGTGTACACGTATGTATGTGTGTGTGTGGGTACACGCCTATGTGTATGTATAAACATGTATATGTTATTGTGTGTATTCAAATGTGTTTTTGAACATAGAAATATAGGTCCTTGCTGGATTAGATAATCGTTATATTTATCTTCATATATTTATATTTGATTTGTAACCTGGAGTCGATATTAAATTTGTCAAATTTTCTCAATTATAAAGCGGCCCTTTAAGTAAACGCAATTTTACTTTCCTTCGTCCAATCTCTCTCCCCCACCTCCTCTTTCCCTTCCTCTTATTCTAGCATTAAATTGTCTATGGTGTATGTCACCATGAAATGTATCTTTATGCATTAGACATCCGTCTACATTCATTCTCTTCTCTTATTTAAAACCCTTCCCTCCACATCTCCTAAAATTCTCTCTGTTAAGGTTCAATCTCCCTCCTCCTCATACTTACACTTTCTCTAAATTCTGTTTTTACTTCCGGGGTATTTTTTTCTGTTTTCTTTTTGAATTTGTAGGTCTGATGATTTGGATCGTATTTACGATTCCAATGGAATAAATTATGACCATGGAATATTAGTGTTTAAGCCTTTTTATTATATCCTTACTCTGTCCTAGACATTGAGTTCTACCTGGATTCTTCCTCTTGGAATTTTTTCTGAAAATATACATGTATGGGTATTTATATATTTTGCATATGTATGTATATTTTCCACTAATATTATATATATATATATATATATATATATATATATATATATAGCACATTGTGTTAAAAGTGCTCTAATATAACAAAACTATTAAGTATATAATTGTTGAAGCTTGAATAAGCATGGAATAATAATAATACAACACAAAATGTACGTAACAAAATGTATTGAAACAATGAAAAAAGGTACACAATATTTACAGGTAGTTTTGGTATATTCTTGGGAAGACTGTTCCTGCAGAATGGGTTGACTAAGTCGCAGTCGGCAGAGTCTCTGGATTCAATCTCTTAATCTTCCGTCGTCTTCCGGTACCAACCCATATTTATATGGTTGGTACTCCACTTATGTAAATTAGGTGTATCATACACAACAATAATAAATATGCATATTTTTTCCTCATTGGTAGCACAACTCAGAGATACATGCACAACGCAAGTTCAACTGCTGAGTTGACACTGACCATTACATAATTTAAATTTTAATAAAAATATCTGGTTAACATAATGTTGGCAGAATCCATATATTATACAGAGTTTACTGGTTTTAAAAAAACTTATTTTAAAAATAAACAGGATATATATTTTATATTTAAAATAAATTGATTAAACTTTTTTTTTTTAATTTTGTATAATAAACTGACCTATAGCTAATGGTTTTTGGTTTTTTTTAATATACATGCTCAACATAAAGTAAACAGAAGAAAATTTAAAAAAAGAAATGTTATAATCTACAGTAGAAATTAATTTGGAACATATTTCAACAGGTATTTATTTTTGTGATTACATATGACCATCAATTTACCATCATTTATTTTTCTGGTTTGATAAGTGTTATTTAGGAGTTTTAAGATAGCTAAGTTTTCTACAAGGCATAAATTATATCTATCGCCTTTCCCATTTTAAGATTTGGTTTTAGCTTTGTATTACCTCCATTCTTCAATTGCCAGAAACGTTTGGAGAGAGCACTGCTATTGATGTATCTTACATTGCTTAAAGTTATTCGATGATGATAAAAGTGAAATTTCCAAGGATTTTCAGTGAACCCAATATAAAATTTGAGATTACTATGGTAGCTTGGTATACAATATTTTCAGTCATACATTGGCTGTTTAAGGGACATATATCTTTTCGATAGTTGTAGTTATTTTTTATAAATTGATTAGCATTTTTGTTTTTGTTGGTGATATAGTTATTCAATATAATATTGTTATGAAGGTATATCAATTTTTCAATGTTCCTAATGCAGCTATAGCTGATCTTTACCCTGTTTTTGTTAAAAAACTTTAATATTGAAAAATGATTGAAATGTTTATGAACTTAATTTAGGAAAATTCTTCCAGTATTTGTTTGAACATTACAATTATGGGGAGGCAGAGTTAAACCATAATATATTACAGTGTCTCTGTTTATTTTTGCCTTTTTTTTTCTAAATATTCTATATTTACTTGCTTAGTTCGAATGCTTTTATATATTTAATTTTATTATTATTTTCTTATTGCTGGAGTTAGTAGATAATCTAAATTGAATGGATTTATGCAAATTATTTAAAATGGTCGGTGGATGATTGGATTCATTGTTAACGTATCTATGGTTATGTAGATCTTTGGTATACGCTTTGTAATGATCAGTACACAAGTCCAAGGTCACAGAAAAAGATGATCACTTTAGCATTGGTGGTTGCAGTAATTTTTAGTTTGTGGTCTTTGAAGAATTTAGTGAATTCCTTTCTTGATCTTTATGGAGGAGAATTACACAGTCATCTCTGTAAAGTCCCGTATCTTTAATATTGAAAATAAAACTTATCGCCACAATAACAAAATTCCAACCAGCTTGCATGCCTCAGCAGAATCAAACAAACCCATTGCAATGTTAAATTCTGTTGTTTCTTTTAGTCCACAGACAACCATTATGATATAACATAGGTTTTTGTGCCTGTCTTATAATTTTAATCTTGTTATCACTAATAGGACAGTATTCTTTAGTTACATTGATGACATAGATTTTCAGTGATTCAGTAAAAAGCACAAATATCGAATTCGATGTATGTACATTTTCATTTTTTTATATTAGTAAACCATTCTATGGCTTCTGCTGTCTTGTTAATAATTCCAAGAGCATTTTTCATATATTTGCAGATATATAATTTTTTTTTTTTTAAACAATATTTATTATTGATGTCAAAAAATCTGTTAACACTATAAAAGCTCTACCTCAACTTTTGAGTGATTATCTCCCTTTGTGATGCTGATATCACCTCAAAGTTGCGAGTCTTTTAGCCTGAAACTCTCCATTCATTCTCAGGTAAATAAACAGCCAAAAAGAAATAATTTCAAACAATAATGTATAATAATGAAAGATGATCAATTTATTACTTAATAACAATACAAAAACTCATCCCTCACCCCTACCCCTTTGATGTCTTATAATAATTTATGTTAATCTTCAGGTAAGGAGATTCCAGACATTTGGTGTAGGGGGTGAGAGAAAGTCAATAGGTTGGGGGGTGTTGTGAGAGACTTTAGATGCCCCCCCCCCTTATAGTTCCACATTCGCCAGATGAAATGATGGCATTTTAGTTGAGCTAATGTATGTAAACAAAAATTGATTCTGGAAGTCAATTTATGAAAAAAAGGTAGTCATCCCATTGCAGGGGAGGGGGTCAGGGCAAGGGATCAAGTTGTCAGTTGCTGTTCAATATGGCTTACCTGACTCAATTTAGTTCCATGTTCCTGAGCAAAAATGTATCATGTGATTTGGGGGAGCTGGGGGGGCAGGATTTCATAATGATTTCTCTTTGCTTTGTGTTAAATATTTTCAGTTTTTGCATGTACTACATTCAACACTGGCTTTATATGTCATGACTGACAATGGTTAGAGTAGTTATCTGGGTTAATAATTACAAAGAGTAAATTGTCCTTGTAAGGATTTCCTGTCAAACACTGGCAAGAATGCACTGGGATGACTGTCAATGAGACTGAATAGTACAAGAACATTATCAGTGGCTAGAGCCAGAATTTGAACTTAGACCGATGATTTTTACATCATGGGGTATGGGGGGGGCATTTGATAAATGTCTGAAATCTCTTTCTCTCAAAATTTTCAATTTCTTCTTTCATTTTTGAGAAAAATGTTGCAAACAAAACAAGATTTTAGAAAAGGGAGGAGAATCGAGAGAATCAAATGCTGGACTGTGATTATAACCTCTTTAGATGACAACCAACATAAAAGAAGGAAAAATGTCTTTCAGCATGAAAACCTAGTCATTTTCATTTTTTTTCATTTTTTTTTTAAAATGGCAAACAGAGAAACGTTATTTGATGCGTATATCGTCTCTTTTGCTTTTTATTTTTTCGGTAAAACAAAGAAAATTAAAAAGATATTTTAAGGAGAGACTCTACCGAATGAGATACTGAAGGATTTCTGAAGCCCATACTTGAATGAATGGAGAGAGGAAATTACCTCTCTCCCTAAACAGCAAATTTTGACTGCATCTTCAGAATGCATATCTTCCGATCTATCAATGGTGATGATGTGGAGAAGAAGAGTTACGAGACAAGACAAAAGAAGGGAGATTCGGGGGTGGACAGATGAGAAGTGGGAAGACGTGGGAGAGCTGCTGCTGTGGAGAGAATTGGCTTTTCCTGTCATGCAGGTGAAAAATGGCTACGGCTTTTGCAATGTCTTGCTGAAGATGAACAAAGGAAAGATTCAGAAATTGAAACACACTCACACACACATATAATCGGGGGAGAGATGATTAGAGAAACAGGCAGAGAATAAAATAAGCAAGCACAAAGTATATCATAAGTAAGAATCGGCTATGATCATCAAATACAATACTTTATCAGACCTCCACAGCCTATGGATTTTTTTTTTTTTTTTATTTTTAAAGAAGATAAACAGAGAGAGAGAGAGAGAGGGAAATATCTCTTGGCTCCCCACCCCCATTTTCATTAAACTAGTGTCTATTTTATTGCAAAGGAATGGGCAAAAAATAAATAATTATAATTTTTAAGACATTTTGGTGGGAGTAAAAAAAAAAAAGTCTTTGCCTTTAAAAAAAAAAAAAAAAAAAAAAAAGGGGGGAGGAGACCTGGCACAAAAATGGTTGCTTTCATCAAAGTGCACCCCCCCAAACACTGTCAAACGTTGGACGGCGGGGTGAGGGGAGATTAGCCCTTCCGTCCTCAAATTTCCACAAAGGAATTGGGGTTTTGTTTTTTTGTAAAGCCCAGGAGGAGGGGGAGAAGATACATCCCCTCCAAGACATGGGGATTCACACAAACTGGAAGTTCTCACGAGTGTACATCTTGGGTGGATCTCCAACAAAGTCCGTGATTTTTCGCCAGTCACAAGTCTGCGGCCGGAAAAGACCACAACAACTCCATCCAAGCACATCAATGAGATTCTTGATACATCCACGGCTGAAAGGAAAATGACAGAAGAAAGTTTAACACTTTTATTTTTTTTTTAATTAAATTTGCAGCAACGTCTCATCCTTTTATATTTGAATTGGCTGCAAGTTCTATGCTTATAGTTTCTTCTATCCAGTATCTTACTTCCCACTCAACTTTGATCTTCAAAAATTTAAACACATTATCAATTTTTATCTTCTGTTTTAATTCTTGTTCTTTTATTGTTCTCTCTCCTTAATAGTAGTTTTTCTTTTCTTTTTTTTTTTCTTATATTGTAATATTCAGTAATCATTTGTGTCTTAGTGGCTTTATTGCCTTGCATGGAGTAAAAAAAAAAAAAAAAAAAAAAAACAGACAATGGCTTGCTTGCAATATGCAGCAATGAAGAGCCAAAAAGAGTCCATTGCATGGCCCTTGTCCATTTTTGGGATCTCTTCTTGATTGAGCTGAGAACTTTTTAGCACCCACTCATTAATATCAAATTGACAAAGATTATGTAGCACTCCTCTTTGTAATATTACACATTCCATCTTTGTATTTTTCTCTTAAAGTGAAATTCTAGACTGCTTACAACAAAGCCATATCATTATTTAATTGTCCTGTGACATACAAATACCATGGGTTAATAATCGTACAAGATATTTGAGAAAAAGACAACAATGTTATGCGAAGATGCACATGAATTTGTAACATGACACACCAAAGGTCATGGCGCTGGTCACAGTGACTTGGCGATAATGGCCGCATGGAGAGGAATTATTCATTTCACACGATCTTGCTTGTGGAACTCTTTTGGCTCCTTGCTCCTTTAAATGTTCCTTTCTACTCGATAACGTTTTCTCAGTTTCTTTTATGCACAATAACCCCTTGCGCCTTAGTGGCTTTATCACCTTAGTTGGAGGTGAAATTATTAAAACAAAAAAAAAACTTTGACCCTGATGACTGAGGAAATGGGTGAATGCCACTGCCTATATTCAGGGTGCTGGATACAATAGTCAAGCCCTGGACTGAGCCAAGTGGATGCATATCTAACTCTTTGGTAAATGGAATCCAAGAAAGTTGCCCAATTTGAAGTTGCTGGAATAATATGTCTAGGGGACTTGTTGAATGCCACCATCACAAATGTCATGACCAACGCACGAACAAAAACCATTTCATGCAGATATAGAGACATTTCTGACGCCAGTTTTATTGAAGAATTTCTTTTATAGTTTTTCTGTACATCATAATTTGTTCTTAATTACTTGCTGTTCCCTGGAAATCTCAGGAAACACAAATCAATCTGAAACTCCCTGACAACCTAAACTTATAAATGTAGCAAGTGACAGAGTAGCTTCCCTTCAGTCAGTTATGCGCTATACGTGACACATGCTTAGGCAATCATGTAGCTTTCAATACATGACTGACAAGGCAGACAGTTGCCATCCAAGGCTATAGAACCTGCTATTTACTCATAGCTGGGGGGAGAAGAAAAGGATTCATACCTTTCCCAATGGTATTAGCATGTAAGTGAATGTAATGGATTCGACTGAAATTCGAACTCGGCTCTCTGATTCCTCAATCCAGACTGCTATCCATTACTCCACCATACCTCCTGAAAGAGTTATGACTCCTCTTCTTCTCCTTGCAGATATTGGTAAATAGCAGGACAGAACAGTTTCTAGCCATCGATGGCAACTGGTCTAACACAGAAAGAATTGGCAACCTACTGCAGGAAAAAAAAAATCTGCCTCGTCAGTCATGTATCAAAAGATACATGATCGCCTAAGCATGTATCACGCATGGCACATAACTGACAGTTTCCCATACTTTTTCAAACAAACAATTATTAAAATTTTATGCTAAATTGGAAATGATCAGATTTTTTTTTTAATGTAATGGTATATCTATATGTAATTGGAATGAATTTCCTGAGAAAAATCCATTGCAATCAAAAAAAAAAAAAAAAAAAAAAAAAACACAAACTCACTGGAACGGACTTCTGTACTCAATTTTGCCATTTTCTTGTTTCGTGTGGTGAAAGTGTTTGTAACGGGCCATGTTAACTCGTTCGTTGGTTGTCATGCCAAGCCACATGATCTGAAAGTGAAAAATTTGATTACCAATTGAATTCTGTTTGATGTAAGGAAGACAAAACCACATTCTCCAAAACAGTTTTTGTTCAGAAAGAGAAATAAGAGAGCATTCAGCAGAGGAATTTCCCCAGACTGACATTTGCCAGTCTCTCTAATGAAACTTGAATTTTTTTTATTCTTTACACGTCTATTCTACACGTTCTATTATTTTTTTTATGGTCCCAAGTATTTTTAGGTTTTTGCACAAATCACATTTTCCCCCACCCCCGACCAAGCTATAGGTTAACTGGGGCAGGGAGGGGCTCTCTAGCAAGTAGCCTTGAAACCTGACTATTTAGAGTCATGTGCTGCTAGTTGGGTGGCTCTGAATGCCGAGAAATCAAAGGGAGAGTTTGCTAAACAGAATTACAATGAATATGTACACAAAGTCTGCGATCAATTTTGTATTATTTTCAAATTTCTGACAAGTATTTTTTTCTTAGGAATTCTACCAGCAGTGTCTCCTGTTGTCTGACAAAAGAACTGAGCTCTGATACAAAAGGTAATTCTTCATTCAGTACCTAGATGGGTAACCGCTTGAGAATACCAAGTGATGTAAGCTTGGATGTGCGGGTGGTGTAATGGATAATGGCTCGGAATTGTTAATCAGAAAGCCAAGTTTCAATTCCCGTTGGGTTCATTATATTCACTTACCCACAAATACCCTTGGGAAAAAGAATGAATCCACCTCTTCTCCCCTCAGCTATGGGTTAATCAGTAAAACTTGTCTCACTAAACCATTATCTCAAAAAATTCTTACTACCTAAAAAAAATATTTTCTGGTTTTAAATAACCTCCAATGGGTTGATAAGTCATAAAAAATTAAAATCCATAAGAAATGGTATTAGACACAATACCTGTTTCCATCTCTATTATTAGCAGAGAGAAAAAAAGCCACACAGTTTAAACAAATCCCATAGTTTCAATCAATCCCAGAATTGTCCCACTAGTGATACTAACAATTCAGTAATAAGTTCTTGACTTAAGGTAAGAAAAAAAAAAAAAAACTCCTCTGCTGATGTTTCTAGATTTTATGGTAAGAATGAATCTCTCTTCCAGCTTTTTGCTACAATCTTCAAAAATTTAACTGCATCAGTCTTGTGTCTCCTTGAATCATCATTTCTAATCAATAAAATATTCTCAGCTTCTTCCAAACTCTATGAATCATGAATTGTTGTTTCTGTCTTTAAGGATTTTACTCTGAATGTAAATAATGACAATCACACAGAAAAATTTTATATTTTGTTATAACTTTTCGATTTTAATTAATTGTGACTTTAAGTAGAATATATTTGTCCCTCATTCCTTCTATATTTTTGTAGTAGCAGAATTGAGCTTTGACCAAAAACACTGAAGTACAAAGAGACATTCAAATCCATGTCAGCTGGATCTGTTCTTGTTCCTCCCCAAGGGAAAAGGAAGAAAAACCCTTCCCTGGCCATCATGTATTCTTCATCAGCAACTTCTTGACGGGAGAGTAGAAATGTATTTTGTAACAATGTTTTAGTTTCTTTTTTTTAATTTTATAAAAAGAAATAAATTTAGTGGATGTCTTCCCCCCACTGGTAAATCTCCTGGTGACTGACCCACAGCACCTCACCCTCAACAGCCCTTTTGTGTACTGGAGTTTGAGATTCCTGATCTACAGTAAGAACAAATCTTTTCTCCATCATTACAGTATATATTGTTCTATTTTTAGTATTTATTTTGTTAATCTCTTATTGTGTTTGATTAATAAAAGTTTGTCATAAGTTTGTCTGTAGAGGAGAAAACAATAAACATGGGTGTGATTACTTTCAATGATTTCATGCATATGCGAGGGGGGAACTTCATTGGAGTGGAGAGGGGGGTAGAGATGGTTTGAAGACTATTTAAGTTCCTGCCTGATACGCACCTGGTACAATTGACACACTAAGACAGGTGTCACCCAAATGCTGTGCCCCAAGGCATTGATGGCTGTCCAACCAACCCAGGGAGACGTTGTGAAGATTTTTGTGATGATGCCAGTGATTCCTTCTTCGTAAAAATCCCACGGACAATTGTGGGCCCAGACTAAAAAGAAAAAGAAAGGTAATTGATCCATTTTTTGTTTAAAGGGGGAAAAAAAAAAAAAAGAAGATTTTTTAATTTTTAAGCACAGTGGTTAGCAACTTCAACATCTACATGTGCCCATGTATATTTTGGAGATGAGGCATTGAAACTATTTACACTATTCTGACCGTTGTCTTCATCTTTGCCATATTCACAATGTTTGGACCATTGTATGCTCTGGCATTCGAACAAAACCCTTTATTTCGTCCACTGGAGTAGATTGTTCTAATTCCACATGCCATGCCTTTTTTGGATATTTCGGTTTCAGTTATTTCCCTTTAGTAACTCAACCCTTAAGTTTTTGTTCACCTCTGTTGTGGCCAGGTATTGAACACACAACTCTTTGGATCAAGTCAATGGATTACTTCAATCAACATTTTTATCCACTATATGTCCCCGAAATAAAGGGTTCAGTTTTAAATTCCAATGTACATCACCTGAAGAAGGCCAGTTCATACAACAGTCAAAATATCATGAATATGATAATAAAGATGAAGACAACAGTCCGAACAATGTAAATATCTTCATGGGTCATATAATAGCAGTTTCGGTTATGATTATATTACCACCATCTGACCAAATCATTTGGTGTGAGACGCTCAGTTTAAAGCAATAATCTGTCTGTAAATAAACAATGCTAACAAATTTTCTAATCTAAACAGAAACATGTCAAATCTTCACACAATCCTAAGGAAAAAAGAAAAATATTTCTTTTGGAATAAAAACTTATTATTTGTTCAGTAAACAAATCTTGATGTGTACATGCACATGTACGCAAAACATTTAAACTTAGAATTGCATTTGGTGGACCTTGAGTCAAAAAGTTGTCTGGTTTCACTTGACACCATTACAAGTTGCATCATTTGCACAATACTGCAAGATTCTTGAACATTTCGACAATTTTTAGATTGACTTACATTTGAAAAAAAATGAACATACTACTAAACTTTGTATTGACTTTCTTTACCTAATTTATGTTAAAAAGTCACAAGTCATGAAAATTCAACATTCTGTTGTGCAATCTGACAAGCCTGCTTGGAAGTTGCAATTTTCTCCACTCATACAACAACAGTCCTTCTGGTAAAGGACCTCAAACAACATACCTATTTGTCTGCCATACACACATTATGTACAAAATTTTATACTTACAGAGAGCACAACTATGGAGATAAATAATCAAGGTTCCAAGCACAAAAACCAGAAACCCAAGGAAATATTTGTGGTTCAATGCCCCTGGAATGGAGGTGGGGGGGAAAAAAAAAAAGAAGAAGAAAACAATCAGAAATTTTTTTTTGCATTTGAATTACAGAAAAAATGGCATTTATCAACCAAAATAGATAATTTATAATTTTCTTGAGCTTTTATTCTCAGTGGATTTATTGCCTTGCTTGGGGTGAAATGAGTCAAAAAAAAAAAAAAAAATTGATTTTTTTTTTACTACTTGCATTTAGGAACTAATCTATTTAGTTAATAACATTATATATATATATATATATAAAATGTATGTATATACGTCTGATTAAATAAATTACAAACATTATGTCTGCTTATTTTTAGCATAATACTTTCATATTCATAGATATTTTTTATGTATTACAATCAAATGAGGCAAGAAATGCACTGCAACAGTGAAAATCACTTTTATTTCCCCAAGTTATTTTCACTATTACAGTGCATTTCTTGCCTCATTTGATTGTAATACACAAAAATACCCATGAATATGAAAATAAGCAGACATAATCACTATTTACATTATTCAGACTATTATCCTCATCTTTGTTGCCATATTTATCACAACGTTTCGTTCATAGTACACTGTGATAAATATGGCAACAAAGATGAGGACAACAGTCCAAATAATGTAAATAATGAACATAATACCTCATCTCAGAAATATAGACAGAAGTAGACATAATGTTTGTATGTTTGTAATTTATTTAAACAGACATGCCTAAAAGTGAATTTGCTGCCTTAATACACAAAGATAGATGGTAGTGCAATGTGAATTAATGGTTAATACCTACTCTTGTAAGTAATTACTACTGGGTAATGAATTTGATCTTCACTGAGTACTCTACACATGTTGTTGTGTCCAAAAATTAAATTCATTCAATACCACTCACTGCAAGTCTGACACATGGCCAGTGTGTTAAATGAGGATTAACAGGAATTCAGATTATTTTAAATATTTGAAAGGCTCCAAAAATTTCAGTTTCTCTCTACACTAATTTTAAAATTCACCTGAAGATGGCTGGAGAATGAACCAAGCAAAATATTGTAAAAAATAAAAAGAAAGATGAGAAAATAAAGGTTTATAGGAATTCATTTAAACCCAAAACCACAAATTGCATTTTACAATCTGTGCTCATGGAAATTCCAGATTTTATAACACTGATTTTTGGACGACAGAAATAAATGACTTCTGCCTGCTTCTTTGCAATTTTAATTACTCATGTGAAAATACTTTTGACTGGAAGGTCTAAAACACCAGGTGGAGGAGAGGACGGGATCTGAAAGATACAATTACTTATGCAAAAATATTTACAATGACAGCTTACACTTCTAAATATCCATTTTCAATATATATTCAATAAAAATATAGTTAAATGTTCTGATAAAGTCTGCAGGGAATTGCTAATAAAATTTAAATTAGTCATCAACATGCACGTACATGTAAATTACTTGTTAATACCATGAAGAACAAGACAACATGTGAGGTGAATTTGTTTTTGAGGTTACCTTCTAGCCTTTGTCTAAGGTGGCAAGACCTACAAGGGAGCAAGCTGGTTTGAATTCAGAGATTTTTTTCTCCTAGGCTGGTTGCCAAACAAGGCTATAGGGCTCAGTTAAAACCGTGCTTCCAAATAACAATTAAATTTAAATATTGAATTGAGTAAAACCTTTAAAAATGGTCTATTTCCGTTGGTTACTTCAGGAGTTTAGGGCTCTGATCTGTTTTGAATAAAAATCCATAGTAATTTGACAACCCCTTGCCTCATTCCTGGAAGTAGCCAACCTCTAAAATTAGTTTCTAACATTGCTACAGTTACGTATTCGATATATTTCATAGGGGTCCCTAGTATCCCATAAGACCTGACTTTAAAGCCAATGTTTAATTAAACGAAATAAATTAACAGGGCTTTGTATTTAGGTAATTAAACCCCTAAAATGTTGGCATTTACTTGTTACCTGTCCATTTTTTATAAGCTTTTAGCACAGGATTACCTGCCCTTGATTTTTAGGATTCTTTTAATTTTTTTTTTTTTACCATTCATCAGTTTGAATAAATTGATTTAATTTCTTTATAATTAATAAATTAAATTCTAATAAATATAAATGAACAATAAATAAATTCAAATACTGAAAGGCATAACAGTTTACTTACACAGACTATAACACAATATTATAGCTATAAACTCTGAAAAAACCAAATCACATGAGAATTCTAAGAACTTTGAAAAGTCAACATAAAAAAAATTTTCATAAACTATGACAACTGTAGAAATTCTATAAAATTTTAACATTTTACAGAATTTGTGAATTTTTTTTTTTTAATCAACACTGATAGGATCTTAACTAAAAAGAAAAAGTTTAGTTAATAATCCAACTCCACACACGAAAGAATACGGAATCCTCCAGAAAGAGAATGATATGTCAGCTTCCATACCCAGTTATAAAAAATGTTATTTACTCACCGACACAGTTATCAACCCAAGGGCAATGGTGGTCCATCTTGGCAACACATTTATTACAAACAGAACAATGTTTTGAACGAATTGGACGCTTCACAACACATGTGCTGCAAAACTGATTCATGCTGATCGACTGCAACTCTGCAAATTCTAAAATTGTCTGCCAAGAAGAAGAGAGAAAAAAAAAGTGATTTATGACAACAAACGTTTCATTTTCCTGCTAATTCCCTAGCTTGGTCTGAAACCTTCAGCTCGTACGTTCCAACCAACTAAGAGACATCATCATTGATGACATCTTATGGAAAGCATTAAACAGTTAAGGCTGAAGGTCTGGACAGAAACTATTCCTTGTGGAGACTGAATTTCAGAAATTTGTGCAAACAACTATCTGTCTATATTGGTTGGATCCAGTGACTTGACCTAAAGAGTTGTGAGTTCAATTCCTGGCTACTGCAGTGGTGAACAAAAACTTGGAGAGTTGAGTTAAAGGGAGATAACTGAGACATCAGGAAGAGGCATGGCACATGGAACTAGAGCAGTCTACTCCGGTGGATGAAATATAGGGTTAAGTTTGAAATTCCAATCCCCTGAAGAAGGCTGGAGTATACAAGGGCCAAAACGTCATGAATATGGCAATAAAGATGAGCACAACAGTCCAAACAATCTAAATAAACATGCAAACAAGTTTCAGAATAAAAATTGAAAAACAAAAATCAGTCATTTATGAAAGTCCACATTTTGAAGCAGGAATGTTACTTAGGCGATTGTCTTTGCTCAGCATGGCTGTAATTGTATAACCGCAGTCAACTGTATACCCACACCTTCTGTCTAGAAATGTCTATCTGCGTCTCCACTTGCATGCGTCATGCGTCAGTTGGTATACTAATCTACTTCCCCTCTTCTCTCACTGGATAACCACAGTCTTATAAAAAAAAAAAAATCTGATTTTCTGTCCATCACACTTTGCCTGCATGTGAACTGTCGGTGTTATGCTTGAGTTCTTTACATGTCCTTGTGCCATTTAATGCAGACACAGTTGAGTTCGAAATAAGACATTCCTTCCCCACTCAATCTGGACAACCCTGGGCTGAGTAATATAATCATAAAAAACTTAAGTTACCCCCCCCAAAAGAAAAAAATATTAATCATAAAAATCATAGTTACACCTGCAAAAAAAAAAAAAAAAAAAAAAAAAATCATCATAAAATCCAACTATCATGATTTACATAAACAAATACTAATCAATTTTTTAAGGTTAGGACATGATTTTAATTTAAAAGAAAAACCATTCATAGATGTTAAGAGAAAAAAAGTTTTTCTTTTTTTCTTTTTTTTTTTTACACATTAAATTGAACTTTAGTTATTTATCAATTTAAACGTGATGAAGAAAAACTATTATCTCTATTTTCAAAAATTCTAAAAAGACAAAAATATTCTGCCTTTTGTTATTTTCAAGATTCTGGGGAATCATTTGGCTGTAAAATAAAAATATTATCTATGGCTAAATACTGGTCAGAGCAAGTCTATAGACTTAATAATGAATGGCATGCATGCTAACAAAACTTATTAATAGATCAATGGGTAGTAAGGTATTCTGTTCTCAGCATATCTGATCTTCACTGAGTGCTTTGCTATAAAAGTCTTGTGCCAGACTAGTTATTTTTTTTAAAGCGGAACAAACTTACCTGATACTTTTCTTCTTGAGTAGCAGAAATAAAACCAGGATCGGAGCGCCAACTCTTCCATAAATTATATGACATAACAGCAGTGAAAATACCAAACACACATGGAACTTTGTGTGTTGGAAAATCTACAAAGAGTCAAGGACCACAACAGAGAGGGAATGTCTGATGGGGTGTGGGGGAACCAAAATGAAAAGGGAATGTCAAGTGGGGGTGTACAGGCAAGAAGGCAATGCAGTGTGTGTGTGTGTGTGCATGTTGTGTGGGGGGGGTAGCACAAGGAGGGGAGAGTGTGTGTGGGGGGGGTAGCACAAAGCGGGGGAAGCCAGTAGAATGAGCAAAAAAGCCACAAAAAACAATCAATTTTTTACTATTTACACTCCATTTTCCCTTTCTTCAATTACCAAACTAATTCTGTAAAAAAAAAAAAAAAAATTTTGCTAATATTTGACAAAGTGCTGTAATTTCAAAAAGTGGCAGAACAATTTCTTATTGTTTTTACCCATTAAACTACCCCCCCCATTTTATGGCCATAATAAATTCATTTCTATTGTCCAGAGTGGGTGCAGGTAACAAATGCTTGTAGCTAATCAATATTTGATTAAAAAACAATTAGGATTGAGGTTTTTTTTTCTTTTCTTGATTTCTCTAAAATGAAATGAAAACCTGATGAAGTAAGATCAAGGCTGATGATGATGTTCATTATACATTGAAATATCATAATTTGTTATTTCTCAGATGAAACCATTTTCAGCCATTAAAATGATGAAACTGAAAGGCATCAAGGATACAAGGCAACAGGTAAGTGAACCACGTGGCATACAACCAGAAAAGTGTGGCCAGGGACACGTACTTGGGAACGACCACACTAACATTATTGTCAAAAAATAGTCTGAAATAGAAAATAGAAACAATTGAGCCAAATATTAAAAAATGGTTTGCGATCAAAATCTTCATCCTTATTCAAAGCAAAAGTCGCAGGCAGCAAACAATTCAAGAAATTTTGCATTTAAAAACAGTTTTTGAAAAACTGCCCAACAATCCTATTGGTGGATGATGGCTTGGAATTATTAATCAGAGAGCTGAGTTCCAATTTCCATTGAATTTGTTACAGTCACATGCAAATAGCTTTGGGAAAGGTATGAATCCATATCTTCTCCCAGCTATGGGTTAATTAGTAAAACTTTTATCACTAAAATATAATCTCAAAAAAAAAAAAAAATTCTTAGAGTCTAAAAACATTTTCTGATTTTCAATAACTTGCAAATGGTTGATAAACCATAAAAATGATTCAGTCAAATGGGTTAATATTGTAATGATTGGTGTAGCATCCTCTTGGAAGTCTGGTCCATAAAGCAGTGCTTCTTGGGACTTACTATTAATCTTCAAGCAGTTCCTTGCAAGGCAAATCTACTCAAATTTTTAATATTTGTTCCCTATTTTATCACATCCCATTAACCTCTGAACTATTGGCTCTCTAAACCCTTTATTTTCCTGGTTTGGTTTGTTTTACGGCACATCAACCTCAATGGGTCATTTAATGCCAACAACTTCTTTTTTTTTTCCTGGTAATATTTTTGCTTTGTCAAAAATCTATTTCTGTTAATATTTTTTCTCAAGAACGTATAGCTGGTAATACTAATTTTCAAAAAACGTATAGCTGATAATATTTTTTCAAAAACGTATAGCTGGCAAAATCATTTTTTCAAAAACGCATAGCTGGCAACATTATTTTTTCAAAAACATTATCAGAGCCCTTGCTGTTGGACGTAGTTTATCATCATACCCAAGAGACTTTATTTTCCTGGGTGATTTTAAGTTACATTATATTTAAGAAGACAAAAAGGGCAGAATTTTTTTTAAATGTTCTTCCGAGTAATAATTTGTACTTTTTCAATAAGAAATCCCAAACTTGCCGCCACCCCCAGCTTTTTGATCGCTACTCGTCCATTCAGTTGTCATTTTGTTACATGGAAAGTACAAGATAGCTCCCATGATTGTAATCACTTTTCAAATGGACTTGAGAATTTGGAACTTAACGATTTTTCAGAGGCACAAATCTTTATAACCGAGGAATGAATCATACCTAATAAACACAACACACACATATATATATATACACAGTATATTTTCTTTTCATATCTTAAAGCTTTCAAAACACTTATTTGACAAGTATATATAAATATATACAAAAATATATAAAATAAAGTGGAGTGAAAGAGCAAGGGGAAGAGAAAAGGAGGAAGAAAAAAATCAGCAAGGAGGCATGGAAAAGGAAGAAAAAGAAAGAAAAAATAGAACAGAAGGAGGAAAAAAGAAAGAAAGGAAGGAGGGAAGGAAAAAGAAAGAAAGGAAGGAGGGAAGGAAAAAGAAAGAAAGGAAGGAGGGAAGGAAAAAGAAAGAAAGGAAGGAGGGAAGGAAAAAGAAAGAAAGGAAGGAGGGAGGAAAAAAAGAAAGGAAAGAGGGAGGAGGGAAGAAAAAAGAAAGGAAGGAAGGAGGGAGGAAAAAAGAAAGGAAGGAAGGAGGGAGGAGGGAAGAAAGAAGGAAGGGAGGAAAAAAAGAAAGGAAGGAGGGAGGAAAAAATTGGAAAGGGGGAAGAAAAAAAGAAATAAAAAAAAAAAAAAAAAAGGTTTTGATTTTCTTACTCTATTGTGAGTTTTGCAACTCCAGCCGTGACAAGGTAGAGAAGTAATTTGTAGTACCACTTGAGAGAAAGTTCTGGAATGAAACCCAACACAAAGAGAGCAACAAAAGGGAAGACGCTCATCACTGTGTCACGCACCGACTGGAAAAAAAAAAAAAAATTATGTTCAAAGAAAGAAAATAAACCAAAGGAGAGGAGGCAGGAGTTGGTTGGGAGGTTATTCTGTCCTGCAATGGTTATTGCAGGACAGAACAACCTCCCAACCAACTTTTAAAATCAAAACAAATAGTGGTTTATATTCTCCCATATCACAGGTAGGATTTATTAAACAATTATGGTTACATGGCAGAGTTGTACAATAGGGATTTCAAGAGACTTACCCAGCTCTTCATTGTGCGTGCCTCAAGGTAAAACTGGCAGCCCCGGACTTTGTCATGCATTAGAGAAAATCAGCTGTAGAAGTTATTCACTACTAAGACATTAGCACTCTTACATTTCTAAACAGACATCTCTCAGTGCCTCAAGGGTAGAAAAGGAATACTTGGAACCAAACAGCCATTTGGTTCCAATTGTACAACAGCTGTTGTACAATTTTTACATTTCACCTGTAATTAAATTGTTCATAATTATTCAGTAGTGTTGTTTCTTCTGTTAGCACATTTACATCTTTTTCAGCAAGATCACCTGATGTTGAAGAAACAGTATGATTGAAATCTCACGGATCAACAAAGACACAGACTTATTTTCTCAAAGGTAGACTAACAGAATCTACTAAACATTAATTCTGGTGAAGGAAATGAACCAGCAAAATTGCACCAAATGCAAGCCACCTTCACCAAAATATAGCCCCCACCCACTCAGGTACAATATTTGAAACCTAGACAGGTGTGTTGTATTTGGTAACCAGCACAAATACAGGTTATGTCTAGTGATTATGACCAAGGGTCAGATTTATAGGAGAGAGACCAAGAAAATGATAGGAATTTAGAAGATGAAAGATTATGATTGACATAGCATTTAAATTTTTGAAGATTAAAGTTGACTGGAAATCAAGAAGTCAGAAAAGAGTTTCACAAACGTAAAGTGTGAGAGAAGAAACTGTTAGCATAGAATTTACAGTTACATTTGACCATTTCAGTTATAAAATAATGAGACCTTGCTGCCAGGTATCATTGAAGAAAGCTCATCACAACAATTACCATGAAGATATTTATAGAAAAAGGCACAGGTAAAATACGCTATGGCAATGTGAAAGTGACTGGAGTTGAGATGCCAGGTCAGGACCAATAACATTGCAGATTCTTCTTTATAGTTTATCAAGAATCTCTAAATACATCATAGAAGCACCAGGCCAGATGTGACACCAATATTCAATGTATGTATGAATGGTAAACTTATAAAGGTGTAAGATATTCACAGTATTTTCATAATGCAGCCTTGTGCCACACTTACTCAGGTGCTGAATGTAGATTATTAACCAGCATATTAGTCCCACAACCTATTCATTTTTACTTTTTAGATGTTCCATTAATATGGCCTTGTGCCAAAAGTGGCTTGACCCAATAAATGCCTTTTCCACTTTAATGCTCTTTCTCTGAGTTCATGCAATGTGTCTTCGGGGTTTTCATTTATTCAGTTTGAACAAAAAGAAAAAAAAGTTATTTAAATAAAGCTTCCAATTCTCTTGCTAACCCTGATGACTAAGCCACACCCACTATAGTGTCTGGTTTCAAATATTCACTGATATAGTTAATAAATCTAAAAGAATAGTAATAGTAGCCATTTACTTGAAGTTGTATGGTAGTGTCAAGATCATAATCATGTCATTTTCTGTTAGTTACATGGGCTACTCATTTTAGTTGTTACTCCTGCTGAAAGTCCTCAAGTGATGTGGTTCCTGTGATTTAATACTATTCTTTGTTTGTAATTGTATAGCACCAGTTCATTAGATTTGAAGAAGGATACTCATAGAAATCCAAAGAAAATGACAAAAATGAATAATGAAGCTATAAATTTATAGAAAGAAAAGATTTTAACAATGTTTGAAATATTTTTACGACTCCAACAATAATGCTTAAGACATGTTGTGATGGACGCAGATAGCCCAAACACACATACATGCATATATTAAGGTTAATCTCCACCTGACAACAGAAGAGGTCACGTGGGAGTCTCGAGACATTTTGGGAAAGCAAGTCAAGAGGTTGACTGACCCAATTTCAAGAAGCTAGACAGGGGACTGATGTAAGTTTTGAGTTCGCGCCAAAACGCAGGAACGTGAGAGTTAGAAAATTACTTGGGAGTCAGTTGCTGTCTTGTCTTTGAAGGAGCAAGACTCAAAATTGAAGCGCTGATAACTTATGAACAGAAAGACGAGACTCATTTGATAATGATGGAACTTGTCCGATTCATCCCAGGCAACTCCGGACAAGAAATATAAGAACATGTATTTCTGTTTGTTAACCCCAAATTGAAGACGATAAATCGCGTTATTTATCACAGAAGACGCAAAGGAACTTGTACGCTGAGAATACAGCCTGCGACTGAAGAAAAGAGAAAACCAGAGAGGAAGAAAGTATATATCTCTGTTACAAGCTGAATTGTGTAAAAAAGAAGAAAGAAAGAAAAGAGAAAACCAGAGAGAGGAAGAGAGTGTATATCCCTGTTGCAGTTGAATCGTGTTTGAAAACTGAACTGTATACAGAAGAAGAAAGAAAAAAGAAAACCAGAGAGAGGAAGAAAGTGTATATCTCTGTTACAGCCGGACAGTGTGTGAAATTGTATTTGTGTCAAGAAAAGGAAAGAAAGAAAAGAGGAAACATGAGAGAGAAAAGAAAGGACAATGATTAAAAAGAGAACTGAATATAAAGATAAGTAACTATATATTTTGGACCCGTATTAGAAAGATACACATGCATCCATAAATATTATGTTCTTACAAACATCTTTCCACATGTCAAAATAATAATATGTAAATCCTATCCCATCTCTTTTGGTTATGCGTTGATTTCTGCATTCGTAGTTATTCATACTTATTTTTTTTATCCATTCAGGTTCAGTCGAATCCATTTGGATTGTTCATCCTTGAATTGTGGATCAGTATTCGTGTTGAAACCGAAGCGAACCTGGGAAAAGATCACTGTTTGATTATCCTAATCGAACAGTGGTCTTTAAAATATTTTTGTTTACTAATTGTCCATTGTCATGATCTGGGAGAGATAGCCCATACCTCTCAACAGATGTGATAATATATATATCTTCTGGTCGGCATATGATCGCCTTATAAACCCATTCGTCGACTAGGGAATATGACACATGTGGAACCATTTCTTTGATCAAATTTTTATCTTTTTTGGACATTTCAAATTCTAGACTGCTGAGTGAAAGAAAGAAATTGTTATGGGCCAGGCTCTTGGTTTCCGGGGATGAGGAATGAGTGATTTTTAAAAAGCAGTGTCAGTTATTGGTTGCCCCTGAGATTTTTCATCCTCTTGCTTGTCCTTTTGTTACCTCAAGTTGCATTGCAAGATAAAGGAGAAATCTTTCACATGAGTAAAAAAATCTTTTTTTTTTTGTTTTTTAAACCTTCAGAATCATATTTACAAAAGACTGTGCGTCACTGCATAAGTGAAGTTTTTTTTAAGTATCAGTTATTGGAACAGAAATGCTTACCTTTTTGGCTGTCAGTGCTTGTAAGCAGTGTTTATGACCAATGCCCCGTTCAGCACGAGCATTGCGTAACCATCGGATAATAGAACCATTCCTTAAAGACATAGCAATGTCTAAGGCAGTTTCTCCCTGGCGGGCAAAAAAAAATAAAGATTCATATCTTTATTACGAACAATATTAAAAAATAGAAATTACTTACAAAATTTAAAACTTCAAATTATTAAAGAATATGTTTATTTGTTTTGGTTTATTTTTGTTTTTCTTTATTTTTCTTCAGAGATTATATCTTTTTAGCCTTCAACTTAAAGGGGGAGTGTGTAAAAGTTCTGAGCACTTTCTGTTTTGAAAATTAGAGACTGAATGCATGGCAGAAAACATTTTTTCTTTTTTAATGAAAAAAATGGTGGAAACTTTAGCACACAGCTAATAAATTGCAAGAATGAAAAGGAAAAGAAATTAAGAGCTATACAAAAAGTGTGTTAGTCTCACTTGAATCAACATATTTTGATTTCCTGAAAATTTATTCGAAAGATAATATGATTGGTTGAAAAAGGTGTTCTGGATTCGGGCAAATTAATATGATTGGTTGAGAAAGGTGTTCTGGATTCGTGCAAATTAATATGATTGGTTGAGAAAGGTGTTCTGGATTCGTGCAAATTAATATGATTGGTTGAGAAAGGTGTTCTGGATTCGTGCAAATTAATATGATTGGTTGAGAAAGGTGTTCTGGATTCGTGCAAATTAATATGATTGGTTGAGAAAGGTGTTCTGGATTCGTGCAAATTAATATGATTGGTTGAGAAAGGTGTTCTGGATTCGTGCAAATTAACATGATTGGTTGAGAAAGGTGTTCTGAATTCATGCAAATTAATATGATTGGTTGAAACACAAAAGAAAAAGATGAAATAAAAAAGAAAAATGTGTTCACTTTGAAAAATGCCAACAACTTATAGCCTCAATTCTTAATGGAAGTACACAATTCACATGAACTGAAAACAGTAATAGCGACAATGTAATTTGAAATATACCATTGAGTGATTGAAACTAAGAGAAACACAATGAACCATGACTCCCAGATTTTCTTGGGCCTCACCACTGCCCAAAATAGATAGAACTGCTGTCAACATATGAAGACCTATCTTTAATACCAAAATGTTTATTTAAGGAATTTGCATTTAATTCAGTTTTGTCATCAGCCAAAACTGAAAAGTCAAACACATTAAAAAATTAATCATGAAAAAGTCAATATCTGTCTATATTTCTGAGATGAGGTATTATGTACACTATTTACATTATTTAGACTATTGTCCTCATCTTTGTTGCCATATTTATTACAACGTTTCAGCCATTGTATGCTCCGGCCTTCTTCAGGTGGTTGGAATGTCAAACTGAACCCTTTATTTCGCTCACTGGGGTAGACTGTTCTAGTTCCACATGCCATGTTTTTTTTTGTTTTTGTTTTTAAATGGATGTCAGTTATCTCCTGTTAATTCCCCTCTCCAAGTTCTCCACTGCCTTAACCGGGTATTGAACTCACACTCTTTGGGTCCTGTCACTGGATCTAACCAACGCCTTTATCCACTGTGCCATGTGTCCTTGATAACTGATAACTGACATCCATTAAACATGGCATGTGGAACTAGAACAGTCTACCCCAGTGAGCGAAATAAAGGATTCAATTCGACATTCCAACCACCTGAAGAAGGCTGCAGCGTACAACAACCGAAACATTGTAATAAATATGGCGACAAAGATGAGGGCAATAGTCTGAAAAAGTCAATATTTTTCACATTTCTGATAAACTCCAGTAGCCTTTCAAACAAAGTAGCGTGGGCATCAGCCTTCTGTTAAAGGGGGCAGTGTGGCTGGTAAACTTTGAATGGATGAATAATGCAGAAAAGTCATATATTTTGGTTCAATAGCAAATAAAAAAAAACAAGTGACACAAAGGCAAGCTGGAAAGAATAAACTGATATGAGTTATCTCCCCTATGCAAGGAAAGTGAAATGAGAACAATCTATCTGGTGTATTGAATAAAGAGTTTGGTCTTAAATTCTGAGGTTACAGACCCTGAAAAAAAAAAAAAAAAAAAAATGTCCAGAGGGTATGACATCCAAAATAAAGAGGGGGGGGGGTATACTAGTCCAGATAGAAAAGTATGGAATAATAATTCTTCATCTCAAAAATTCTGACATAAATTATATCATTCGTATGCACAATGATTTCTAATTATTTCATGTCATTTTTGTGAACAATAAAAAAAAAAAAATCATGACTGAAACAAAATGAGGACAAGTTTAAATGAATCTATATTTAATAATAAATGTTCTGGTCAGCTTCACCAGAGAGTAGGAAAAATAAGTAATGCTTTCTACTATCATCTCTAATCTAGCATATGGACCTGATGATATCCCCCCCCCGTAATAGTCATTAAGACGTCTGCTCACAAAAAGGCTCTTGTTATCTTTAATCTGTCTAATAAATGCCTTGCTGCCTGCCGAACATTATTGTCTATTGTTCCACTTTTTAAGAACTCTGGTAAACTGTCCGACCCTTCCAACTATCAGTCTATTTTTGGGAAAACTTCAAAAGACCCTAATCAAAGCTGAATTGGTTCATCATCTCTCATTGCAGGGCCTTTTTTCTGACAAGCAATATTCGTTTCTCCAAGTCAACTGTTGAAGTACTGACAATAATTGCAGAAAGAGTCTATCATGCTCTAGATAAAAATGGCTGTAGCATTGGAAAGCCTTTGACAGAGTTTGGTATACAGATCTTTTCCACAAGATGAAAAATTTCTCCAGACACATTTTTAAATTGACCCAGTCTTTCCTACGAAATAGTGAAATTAAGGTTATCCTGAACAGCCACTCATCTAGATTCTTTCCTACTAACACAGGTGTCTCCTAGGGTCTTAGCCTGTTTTTAATTTTCATTAATGACCTTCCAATGACATTAACTCTCAATTTGGTATCTATGCTGATGACACACCCATTTACTCCTATCTTGATAGTAAGTCTGATCAGTTTGATAAAGTCAAAATGGCAGCTGATATCCAAAATGACCAAATTGTATCTTATTTGGCTTACCTTTCTCGATCATATTAACTCTCAACTTGGTATCTATAGGGATGACACAACCATTTATTCCTGCCTCGATAGTAAGGCTGATCAGCCCGACAAGGTCAAAATGGCAGTTGATATCCAAAAACGACCTCAAGTCCATCATTAACTGGGGCAAAATATGGCTTGTTAATTTTAACACTTCCAAAAACTAAACTTCTCTCCATTAAACATCTGAGAGACACCTCTCTGCCTTTCATCAGCATGGCTGATGCTATCTTCCAAGAAAGTGATTTGTTGTACCTTCTCGGTCTAACGATTTCAGTGGACATGAAGTGGAAAGACTATATTAAATCCATTGCTAGGTCAGGTGCTAAGAAAGTTGGTTCACTGTGTCATGCAAGAGAATTTTTCTCTCCAGAATCTATCTTACATATCTATAGGTCTACCATTCATCCATTCTTAGAATATTGGTTCTGAACTGGCAGCTTGGCTTCAGTCACTTTCCCACTTCCATAAGGTTGCCTCTCCCTTGTCTTTTGTGTAAATACTTTCATGGTAATTGTTCAGATGATCTCTTTGCTATGGTGCCTAAACTTTTTGAATTTAAGCGCAGTACTAGACTGGTGTTGAAATCTCATCAATTTACAGTTCAACTGGTTAGATCAAACCGTAAATTCTATGCTAACAGCTTCTTTTCTATCAAATCACACTGAAAACATTGGTTCCTGTTTGATTACCACAGTTAAGCTGCATTGTGCCAAGTCAGTACTTAGATGGGGGACTGCTTAAAAACAATTATTTCCTATCATTTTTTTATTTTGTAAATAATCATGCTCTTTACAAAGTTTGTGCATTGTTTTATTTTTAATTAAAAAAAAGCTTTATTATTTAATGTTTCTTTTAATTTAAAAAAAGCTTTACTATAAAAAAATAACACTTGTCATTGCTTTTCTACACAAGTACGCAGTGAAAAGGCTGTTAATTAAGTTTCCATGTGCAGAATGTTCTGCAGTGAATGTAGTTAGACAAGGCCAGTAATGGTGGATGGCTGAACATGACTGAGTCCGAATTTTTATTGTCGATAACTCCAAAATGACAGATTTTATCAAAATTTCTGTTATTTTTTAATTAAGCATGTAAATTTAGACCTAAATATAACGATTCATTAAATTTTTATTAAATACTTAACACAGGGCTTAAAAAGCAAATTACCCAAATATTCTATTTCCTTTTCTTTCATTTGAAATCGTTTCCTCACCCCCAAGAATTGTATTAATCAAAACTTTCTTATTCATCAATTCTTTCTCGATTCAGAGAAGAAAAATCTCTCAATCAGGAAGTAACAAAAGATTGAAGACAGAGAGATAAGCGGTTATTACTTACCTTGGCATTTACAGCTTCCATATTGGCCCCAGCTTCCACTAAGATCTTAATAACAACATGGTTTCCATACTGGCAGGCCCAGTGCAATGGAGAATTCTTCTTGGATTTGTCTGTGATATTTAAACTGGCACCAAATGTTAGCAGTAAGCGGGCAGGATCGTGGCTGCAACAGGAAGCAAAAAAAGAAAACATCTTGTCAATTAAATATGCTTGCTCCCTAACAGAAAGAGACAAATACTTCAGACTTAGGGAAACAAGTTGAAAATATTTACAAAATACAGCAGACAAGCGTCACGAATATTCAAAATGAAAAATTCTTTATTTTATAACCACAATCATCATTTTTTTTCTTTTTAATGTGCTAAGTCCTTTCAGAATGAATGACCATGGCTTCCACAACCCCCCCATCTTTTGTTACTCTAAGTAAATTTTGATCCTTTAACGCCCCCCCAGCCTCTTTGCTCTTGATCTGCCATCCAGTCACTCAAACTTGTTAAGAAGGTTACTTTTTGTTTATTCCTATTCCTCTTTGCCTTCAATATGACTAGTGAGTGTTAAATTCTCTAGGCACTCTTTCCTTATTATATTCCAGAAATTTTTCTCTTTCTGATGTTTCCTATTTATTCCTACCTTCCTTAAGACTTCCTCATTTGTCACATATTCTATCCATTGCTTGAAGTTTCTTCTTTAATTGCAAAGAGATTCTCAGCATTCACTACTGTATAAGAGGATTGATATTGCATAACACTTCAGCATTCTTTTTGTTTATGAAAAACGAGAGTTGATGGATGTACAATTAATTGAAATGAGATGTTCTTAAAAAAGAAATTGAATTCTACCAACCTGAAGACTCGGTATGCAGCCCACATAAGAGGGGTCATTCCACTCTTATCTAACATGTCAACATCTTGGCCTTTGGCTATCAAATAGGCCACTATAGCTGTGTGGCCAAATTGGGCAGCCAAATGAATACAACTGCAACCTGTGGAAACAGAATGGAAAACTAGAAATTGTCAGCATTTTACATGATGTAAAAAAAAAAAAAAAAAAAAATGATCACTTATTTTACAGGATTTTCAATAAACATTCACATATACAGCGAAGACACAAGATTATCTGGAGGGTACTTTTTATACAATGCAATAGCACTAAAAATACAATATGAAACAAATTGGCAAGTACAAAATTATCTAATTGCTAAAAAATAATTTTAATTATTTATGAAATTTATAAAATATATTTCTATCATGAATCCTCTTATCTAGGTACCTCCAATAATTCATTGAAAAAAGTCATTAGCATGATGAAAAAATGCCTCAAACTTGATAAAATAAAAAAAAAAACTTTTATCATCAAAATGTTTGTTGTTATTAAGAGGAAAGACCAAAGTATTTTTTGATTACTTTATTAATTTTTTTAATCCTTCCTAGCATGTTTTTCTTGCATCAGCACCAGGGCAGCAAAGGTTAGTATAGGAAAACTTTAGTGTCATTTTTGCAGTAAAAAAAAAAAAATCATTGTGCAAGAAATTCTTGTAAAAATCAAATAATTGTCAGATTTCAATTAAACTTTGAGAAATTATTTTTTGTTTAGAAAATTTTGTAAAAAGAAAAAAAAAAATTTTTTTACCATCTGTTACCCCCACCCCACTTAATTTTATGAAATTTTGAGAAAATAAAATTAAACCCTTTTCATATTTAATTAAAAGCAGGAATCCTTGGAGAAAGTAGATCATCATTTTTTTTTTTTTTTTTTCAAAGTTACTCATTTACTGAAAATCTGCTCTGAATCATAAAATAAAAACTGAAATCAAACTAAGACATTATTTAATTAGAAAGCTTTTAATTGATTTTATAAATATCTTAAGGACATTGTTTTACAAAAAAGATTTTTCAATGAAAAATGAATTCTTACAAGATTTGTTTACATTTTTTTTTTAACATTAACTGAAATTTAAAATTTTTTTAATCTTTTAAAATTCTGTTTTAATTTGTCCCTTTTAGATGATGATAGTATTATTATTATTATTAAGTGAAAACTACATCTACTAATCATAAATGGAAAAGCTTAATAAAAATCATCAAACACCAATATTTTTAAAAGAATTTAAAATTTTTCTGTAAATGTGCCCATTTTTATAAGTACAGACAACATTATCAGAAAATAAGAACAATATCTATAGTAAATCTAAAGCAAAAATATCTAAAATTCATAAACCTTTAGATTATGAAGAATATTTTCCTAAATTTTTAAGGTTACTGAGTACTTACAACTTATATAAAAAAGGTGCTCACGTCATTTTCTTAAATTATGTTTTACAGATAAATTCTCCATATAACAACATTAGACCTGTCAACATGTCAAAAACAGCTACTTAAACTAGTACTAGTTAAAAATGCATTTCTGCAATATTTTAAACTTAAAGTAAATAATATTTATTTAAAATCAGATTGATTAAACTTTAAATCAGTTAATCTTCCACAAATAAAGTTTCAGAAAAGTATATTTTATTTTTGGGAGATTTTTAATAAAGAGAATTACATTGCGATGAAAGACGATTAAAAAAATGGCACTAATCAATTATTTTTAGCAAAAAAGAAAAAAAAAATTAATTCCAGTCAATTTCAATTAATTTTTTGGCATATAGCAAAGTATTTTGCTTATAGGAAATATTAAATTTAATCAATTAGCTTGAAACTAAAACTAAAATAAAAGCTTCAAGAAAGATTATTCATTTTTAAAATACATTTTAAACCTTAGGTATTGTATTTTTTTTCAGCACCTATTCTTATTAATATTAACAATATAACACATACATATAACATTATTATTATTATTAACATTATTAATATTAACAATATAACACATACATATAACATTATTATTATTATTAACATTATTAATATTAACAATATAACATATACATATAACTAATTATTATTATTATTATTAATATTAACAATTAACACATACATAATTATTTAATTAATATTAAATATTAATAATATAACATATATAACATTATTATTATTATTAACATTATTAATATTAACAATATAATACATACATATACCCTTTTAAGAATTACAAGCAAATGTTGTGATAAAATGATTTCATCAAAATACATTTATGATTTTTTTTAAATATTAAATTTAAGCTCATTTTCAGTGGAAACAAAGATCATTTATTAAGATCAATTGTTAAACATATCCTCGTTTCAATTAGTGCTTAGCAACACTTGGCAGTGAGTAACAATAATGTGTGTGTGTGTGTGTGTACGTATGCATTTGTACAGGGAGACAAAAATGTCCAATATGATACAATCAATTTCACTTAAAATAATACAGTTTATTTTTCGAATACTGAAACATATTTTTACATACAATAGATAGAATATGATCTTCAGCTTGGAATAAATATGCATAATCCATTTCAGAAACTTTTTACTCAGTACAATAATTGCATGAAAAACAAAACGTTTAAAAACTGGCAAAGACAAAATTATCGAAATGATGTCAAATGAAATATATAAAATCTATATCAAGTTATGATATCATCTACCAGGCTGTACCTGGGATTTATAAATTTGTAAAAGTATTTAAGTTTACAATAATGAATATGTACATTATTCACTTCAAGCCAGATATCAACAACAGAAACATGGCAATGGTGAAAGAATTTTTCTGCAGATGCTTGCAAACTCAGGAATGAGTTTCAGAGCAGCAATTAAGCAGTTTTCACAACGCAATTTGACTGAAAATTATGGAAAAATATTATTACAGCTCTTCTTGAATGGAGCTGGAAGTATAAATACTCTCTAAGATTCTATGAATGCAAGAACCATAGATATTGTTTCTGACTGGTGTCACATTCTATGGTAAGTTTGGTGCTTAATAAACATGAAGGCAAATACCATTGCTCAAAAAGTTATTGTCATAAAGCTTCATTAGAATTTGCTTGTGCCTACTTCAAAAAAGTGATATTTAGAACTTGGTTCCATGTAGTGATGAGAGTAAAATGGCACCATTTCATTGGAATCAGGTTCAATTTAGAGGAAAAGAGAAGCCATGAATCTTAGGAACACCATTCCTCGTATATAAAACATGCTAGTAGCAATCTTACAGTTTGGAGATGTTTTAGTGGAAAAGGAGGGGTTTGTTTAAAATCATAAGAACTATGACAAACAAATAAAAAATACGATATTTTAAACGAAAATCTGAAAGATTCTGCTCGGTACATTTTTTTTGGACGACATGATAATGTTTCTAAACACACCAGTGCATTGGTGAAAGATTTGCTCAAAGACAACATCAACATCTTACCTTGGCTTGCAATTAGTCTGGACCTGAATCCAATAAAAAAATTGGTGACCAGGGTTCATTGAACACAACCTTGACATTAACAAGATTTAGAGCAGTTTGTTTTCAAAGAATAGAACGTCATTTACTTAAAGTTATTTACCAGAAAGACTGCCATTATTTGTTAGACGAAGCAAATGGATCATTTTTTCTTAACCATTTTGTTCCTGTTCTGTTTATAATGCTACCGTCTTGAATGTTTCTGAAATGAATTTTGCATATTTAACACCTATGGTCATATCCAAACTTATATTTATGAAAAATATTTGTTTCAATATTTGAAAAAATGAATTTTATTATTTAAATGAAACTGGCTAACCTATCTTATTATAATTCTACTTGTCCCTCCCTTAGCACGACCGTTACGCCCTGCCGCTAACTCATAAATAATGGATTATTCCATTTTGATTGCATGTAAAGGCAGAAAAGACTTAACAGATGCTATTTGGTTTCAGTAAGAAAATAAAAGAAAGGAAGATACAAGTCTCTCATGTCTGTTTCAATGAAATTCAAAAAGTTTTCAATTCCAAATCTTTTCATTTGTACCCCCTTATTTCTTAAAATAACAACCAGCATTCACATTTATTTTCACAGGTCTTTTCTAGTACGGATAATTTTGTGCCTCACTAGATTAGCAATTAAATACAGGAGCAGAGGTCTGTTAGCCTTTCCCAAAAAGTAGTAATGATCATGTAAAAATTGTCAATTCACAAAGCCACATCTTGTAAAATCTGTTAATTCCACAAAGACAGAAATAAAATACAAGGAATCTAATGCCATCAATTCCACCAAGGAAATTCTTTCTGCATAGATTTTACTGAAAAGGTGATCCTCCAAGAGATGTCAGATGATTTTGAGATTGGATTATCACAATGCATTTGTACAGCATTTGATAATTTTGTTTGATCTTCTGAGATGATGAATTGTCAATATGCTTTATTGATCACTTGATAGCCTACAGGATGGTGACATAGATGATATTAAAAATATTGTAATCACCTAGTGGTCAGGGGTTCAATCCCTGAATCGGATAGTGAAATTCACATAACCTAGTGCAACAGGATTGAACCAGAAACAGCAGCATAAGGGTAGAAATAAAAATAATCACCACATATGACATGTATCATCCATCAGCCAAAAATAAACACCTGAAAATGGCCAGAAGTTGTTTCTGTAATAATATCTAAAACAAAGACGCAAGTAGTAGTTGGGATAAATCAATTTGTCATCTTGGGAATCAAACAAAACTTTACTCAATGTATGTCTTTAAATTTCTACACAGCTAGAAAATGCTTCTGAAAGAATTTGGCAAAGTTTTGACAAAAACAAGTTGGCAATCTTTAACCTTTGTGCTTGAAAAAAAGGATGGTTTTTTTCCTCGACACCACTATTATTTAACTACCCATGGTTGAAGAACTGGAGAAAAAAGAAAAAAATGACTTACCACCAGCACAGAGACTTTGTAAGTGAAGAAATGCAGAGAAAAAAAAAGAAAAAGAGATGGCCACTCATAAGGCGAATATTTAAGAACATTGCTTTCTTGCAATACAAGATTTTGATGATAACATGCAAATTTCCAAATGTCAAAAAGAATATAAAAATTGCATTATCAATGGAGGAACTG